TTTCCAGTGCTTCCTTGATCTTCCTTGTTTATAAGTGGTATTTCTTGATTAGGTATTCTTTGGTCTTCTTGTTCTTCATCTTCTTTTCTTTCATCTGTTCTAGCTTGCTTGCATGTGATCTTAACTTGCTGATCTTATTTTCTAGTCTAACCTTCCATTTTTGTGGTGCACTGTTTGTTTGTTTTCCTTCTTTGTTGATTTTGCATCCCAGCTATTCAGTTATAACTGCAGCTGTGCTGTACATTAGTTGGTTTGTTTCTTGCAGTGAATTGGTACTTATACTTGATATTGCAGTATTTGCATCTTTTAATGCTTGTGCTAGCTGTTTCTTTGGAACAAGCTTCAATGCAGGTAGCCTTATTCTGTTGTTTTTGTGCGGTTCTAGATGCTCAGTTATTCTTTGTTTCAATTCTTTTATTTCTTTAGTTAGAGGATTTTGTTCTTCCTGAGGTAGAGGTGCCTGGTTTCCAAATGAGAACAGTTGTATATCTTTGCTAGATTCCTTCACTGCCAACTCCCCCTGGTTTGCCTCTACATTCTGAATTACTTCTGGTAAGGCGTTGATTTCTTTGCCCTGGGTAAATCTTTGCAGTTCATCCAATTCTGTTTCTGTGAATACTTTATTTCGTATTATAAATCGGCGTTGATCTGCTAGTCTCTGTTCTGTTATTTCTGATTCTGGATGTTGTTCTTTCCAGAACTGGTGCATTCATTTTAGATATCCTCTTCTTGTTGGACTTGATCTGTAGTAACAGATCATTATTTCTTTGTTTTCAATCACTGTGTATCTGCGATGGGTAAAGACCTTTTCTTCCAGTAGTTCTGCAGCTGCTGGCCCTGGTTGCTCAGCCAAAAGTCCTGAGTCCTGTAACCCATTTTTCACCAGATATCCAGGAACTCCAATATCTAGCACGGACCTTGTTAACCCGGGCAACATCCGAGCCAGTATTCTGAAATTTATGTCTCACCATATTTTTTATGGGAGAGACACTCTTTGTCTGACTCCTCTGATGAGACCTGTCCAGTATGGTTGAACCTCTGGCATAGCTCTCATCTTCCTCAGAGTACACAAGCCCCACAACCACGTCAAGGTAGTGCCTCACTGGGGGATTATTATTATTTTGTTTTACTTTTTACTTTTTGTTGGATGATGAGCATGTATTTACCCCAAGGAGATTTAAACTCAATTACTGAAGATTTACCCACTACCTTTGCTAGAAATGGGTTCCAATCTTTCACTACTCTTTCCATAATGTAACACTTTCTAAAATTATTTTTGACGTGCTCTCCTGTCTGTTTGAGGCTCTGTGTTCTTGAAGTTTTGCTTAATATTGAATGTACTGCCTTCTTGAACCTTATTCACATCCTTAATAAAAAGTTTTCAATCATTCCCCCTTTCAATTCTGTCCTTCCAGGCTCTATATATTCAATTTTCCAAATCTCCTGATATGTTTTGTCCCTCAGTCCTTACACTATTTTTGTTGCCTGTCACTGGATTCGCTCAATTTTATCAATACTCTTTTTAAAGTGAGGTCTTCAGAACTGGACACAGTATGCCAAATGGGGTCTGACTAAGGCTCTATATAGCAGGATTAGAATCTCTTTTTTCCTGCTGGTGATCCCTCTAGTGATGCATCCCAGAATTTTGTTTGCCTTTATAGCTGCCTGACCATAGTTTTGCAGTCATCTGTTATGAGCATATTTAAATTCTTTTCTTCTGTTATTCTGTCTAACACTGTACTGCCAATACTGTACCCCACCAGAGGATTCTTTTTCTCTTGAGTCCATGATCTTATATTTAGAAACATTAAAATGCAGTATCCACATTTTTAACCAATTTTCAAGCAATGCCAAATCCCTTTCCATGTTATGAATATTCCCAGTAATGTCAACTCTATCACATACCTTTGTGCAGTGCTTTTTTTCTAAAAAAAAAAAAAGGGGGGGGGTGGAACTCACACAACCTGCCTTGCCTATCCTACAAGGTTCCATCCAAAAATGGTGCCAGAACTCTGTTCTGGGCATTCTATGAGAAAAAAAGCCCTGCCTTTGTGTCATCAGCAAAAAAAAATATATATCTTACCTAGCAATCCTTCTGTTGTACCATTTACAAACACATTGAACAAAACAGGAATTAGGACTGAGTCTTGTTGTACACTACTTGTGATTGGTCTCTGTTCAGACAGTGCTCCATTAATAATCACATACTATTCTACTCTTCTCTGCATTCTTTCTAGGGATTCAGCACATTTTTTGTAGTGTGATGACCAGAATTGGATGTGGTATTCCAAGTGTGGCCTCCCTAGTGCAGTATAAAATGGTACTATCACGTCTTGACATCCTATCACTTCTTGTGATCTGTATTCCATTCCTTTGTTGATGCAGTCTAGGCCTATATTGGCTTTTTTGGCAGCTGCAGCATACTGCTGGTTCATACTTAAGTGGTGGTCCATTAGAACATCTAGATCCCTTTCACAGTTACTATGTTGAGCCAGGTACTACTTATTCATTTGGTCCTTCCTGCCTAAGTGCAGGATCTTACTTTTCTCATGACTGAACTGCATCTTATTAGCTAGGGCCCAATGCTCAATGCTGTCAATGTTCTTCTGAATCTTGGGTCTATCTTCCAATGTGTTAGCAATTTCCCCCCAACTTAGTGTCATCTGCAAATTTGATGAGTTCCCCTCCTGGGAATACCTATAGTGATGTCATTTTCCTCTAATTTTCACCCAAATACATTCTAGAAGATTTTCATTCTTAGTTGTATACTTCTGTAAAGGTGTAGTGATTCCTTACATACAATGCAACTCCCTCTCTTTTGTTGGGTCTGTTTCTTTTCAACAATTCATATCCTTCTAGCAGTACATTCCAATAATGGTTTCTATCCCACCAAGCTTAGCCCACATGTACTAGAGCTTCAAATTCTCCATTTGTTCCCTTGCATTTTCTTTTTATGTCTCCTGTTTTATACCTGAGTTTCTCTTCCATCTTACCACTCCCTTACTCATTGTCTACTAATTGTCTTGAGGTTTATGTTTGGAGTTAGATCCTAAAGATTGGTCTCCCTCCCCTTCCATTTTTAGTTTAAAGACCTTCAGATAACACAAGCCATGTGTTTTCGGACACATTTTTCCCATTTCTTTTGAGTTGTAGCCCATCTTCTGCCAGAAGCCTTTCCTGTAGGTAATGTAAATCTTGGTCTAAAATCCAAAGTTCTTTTGATGGCATCATGCCTTGAGCCAGTGGTTTACTTATAGAATCCTTTGTTCCCTCATTGGATGGCAAACTTCCATCAGAAGTAGAGATGAGAACACTACCTGTGCTCCTAATCCTTTGCTTTCCTGGCTACAATAGACATAAAATGTCTATTTACCCCATTAAAATGCCAGGTTTTGAGATGTATAAAAAAATCAGACTACAATAAATCACATCAGAATTTTTTTCCACTTTTACTATAATATATAAGCTGTATGATTCAATTGAAAAACAAACTGAAATGTTGTAGAAGGAAATGAATAAAAAACTTATAATAACATGATTGCATAAGGGTGCATACTTTTAAACTAATACTTTTGATTTCATGACAGCATTTTGCCTTAGAAATCTTTGTCCATTCTTCCTTGCAAAACCATTCCAAGTCTGTCAGATTGCAAGGGCATCTCCTATGAACAGCCCTCTTCAGGTCACCCCTTAGATTTTCAATTGGATTCAGATCTGGACTCTGGCTGGACTATTGCAAAACATTGAGCTTTTGCTGATGAAGCCATTCTTTTGTTGATTTGGAGGTATGTTTTGGGTCATTATTTTGAAAGGTGAAATTTTGCTTAATCTTCAGCATTTTAGCAGAGACCTGAAGGTTTTGTACCAAAAGTAACTGTTATTTGGAATTTTTCCTAATTCCCTGCCCAGTTCCAGCTGAAGAAAAGCAGCCTGAAAGCATAATGCTATCGCCACGTTTCATTTTTTGCGATGTACAGTTGAGCCAAACATACTTTTAGGAATTATGGCCAAAAAGTTCAACCTTGATCTTATTAGATCATAACATATTTTCCCACATGCTTTTGTCAGATTTGATGTAGTTTTGGAAAATGCAGCCAGGCTTGGATGTTTTTCTTTATAGGAAAAGGCTTCCATCTTGTCACCCTATTTCATATCCCAGACATATAAAGAATATGGGAGACTATTGTCATATGTAGTACACAACCAGTTTGCAGAAATTCCTGCAGCTCCTTGTTGCTTTAGGCCTCTCAGATCAGGTTTCTTCTTTTTGCATCAATTTTGGAGGGATATCCAGTTCTTGGTAATGTCACTATTCTCTACTTATTGATGATTATCTTCATTGTGTTCCATGGTATATCCAATGCCTTGAACCTTCCAACAATGAGATCCCTTTGATGCTTTGTGAGCTCTGCAGACCATGGCTTTTGCTGTAAGAGGCAACTGAATAAATGTCGGAAAAATCATCCTCCTACTCCTACTCCTCATCATGTCCTGTATTAAGCACATCGAGCTACAAGTGTACTCCACAATTTTCAGTCCACAGCTACAGTCTGTGCATACTTCCATTTAAGACTGATACTTTTCAGATCTTCCTGAAATGTTTGGCAACAGATTTTCCTTCGCCTTCCTCTTTTTCTCAGGCCATCTAGCTGTTCCAAGGTTGGGAACAACTGAATCCAAGAATAAACTCTACATCATGAATAAATACATGGCATATAGTTTGTAAATCACCATAGCAGTTGTCACTTTTTCCATGACTGTTTTTCTTTTCGCAAATGCTCTCTGTAGTTTTAAGGCAAAGTCTTTTTTCCCCTTCCCCGCCCCTCCTCTTGTTAACAATATTTTCCTTTCTCCATTTGTTTCAATACTATACCCTTGGATCATTTCATTTTTTTAAAAATTAAAAAAAAAATCCTTGCCAAAGGCTTGGAATTAAAAGTCTTTGAAAATACTGGTATGATGGGGAACCTACTGAAATTTCTTCAATTGTAGTTTCTTACCTCTTGCCTGGGCTTATATAGATACAGTTGTAAAGTATGATGGGTAAAAACATCTTCTGAATCTCGAATGCTTTTCCTTCTCTGTTCTAATGCTTGCATATCAAGACAGACAGAACTGGCAGTTTCTCTCCTAAAGTAAAATAAACATTTAGCTTTGTTCACAGGATTTAACAAATAAAACAAGCCAATAATCTTAAAACAAACAAACATTTTTAAAATCCAAGAATAAACTCTACATCATGATTTTTATAAAAATTAAAACAAATCCTTATAAGAAAGTAGCTTCATAACAGAAAACTAGGATACTGGAAAAAAAATAAGAAGTCACTTGATTTATTTTCTTTAAAGTCTATTTTAATGGACAGGAAGTATTTTGATTTTTTTAACATTATGGAGAGTTCAAATCAAAGTATGCAAACATATGCTGTAATAGTGAACAACTTTAAGTAAAGTCCACAAACAACAGAAAGGAAATTAGGCATATCTACTGTAATCGCCCAGTAAAAGTGAACTTTCAGATTTTAGAAATATTGTTTAGTTTAAATCCATAGGAAAATGTGAGATACTGTTAGAGAGCAATATCTCAGTCAGGAGAAAAGATCAAACAGGTAATTAGCATGGACTTGTTACAAAAAACAAGAGGGCAAGACCTGACCCTCCTTTGAGCCTTATCTAATCAGCCTTATCTAATCTGCCAGTCTGGAAAGATTCCTGTAAATTTGCAACAGAACAATAAAGTAGCTAGTGTGGGTCTGGTCATTCAGACCTGACAGAAACAAATATAATAGTATAATCCTGGTTGGGTGGGAATAGTGTGCCTAACTGGCATCATCTTGCAAAATCAAGCACTTTGAAATAACTGATTTTTTAAAAAATTAGTCTGAATCTCTCCTATTAAAACCAAATGATCTTAAAGAGATTAAATGCAGTATAGCCGAAACTGTATGTTTCTTACCCTGACTTGATATTAAAAATGTACTTATAAAACCAGGGCTTAACTATATATTCCACCTACAGCAATTGGGTGACAGAAGTCTCTCCCTTCATTTGGTTGATAATGCTGAAGTCCACATTGGCGGTGTGTTCAATACTTGGAGAGTGAATGAATGCCAACGAACCTCTTTGCTCTCCCTGTTCAATAAAAATAAATAAATATTGAGCCTGCAAAATGCTCCTAGATTGGGGCTGAAAGGCAAAAGTAATCATAGCAGTAGACCAGGTGTTCTATTAGACACACACACACACAAACTTGAGTTGGTTTTTAATATGCTGATATGTACCCCAAATTACAAAAAGGCAGTAGTTTTTATACACTGTTTCTATAGAGTTGTCTGAAGAAACTACTTTGACATTTTATGCTCTACAACTATCATAATACATATTTACATATTATGATTTGGGTTTCAATTGAAGAAAACATAAAAAGAATTTAAATTCCTTTTCATTGTCACTCCACAGCATTTGCACCTAGGCTTTTGACATAATGGGCATTTCTTGTCTTGATGATGTGAATGCATGTCACTCTACATTAGCATGGCAACACATCATCAACCTGCCCCGGTTTGAGACTTCCAGGGATAGTAATGGCAGACTGAAGATGATTATAGCAAAAAGAGGAACCGGTGAATAGATTGGCTCCTAGGAACTCCTTTCCTGATCCACAATTTTGCCCGATATAGAATCTCCCTTTGAGGAGATAGTAAAACAATGATCTTCAGTAGCTTTGAGAGCAATAGGAGCTGGGAGGAAAAATCATCTTGCCCAAGTTGCAGTTTGGTACTTTCAAAGTGACACTGAATTCATCTACTTTCTCTTTTAATTAATTTAGGAAACTATTTGTTAGACTTTCTAAATTTTAAGAACCTATTTTAAAGCAAAGTTTCATTACCCTGGATGAAAATAGTTCTATGTAGGTTTAAGGATTAAAATGACTTTAACTTTTGGAAAACAGAAAAATATGGACTAGAACAGGGGTGTCAAACACAATTTCATCAGCATTGCGGTTGCCCTCGGGCTGGGTGGGTGTGGCCAGGGTGGGTGCAGCCTACGGGGGGTGTGGCCTGCTGGGTGGGCATGGCCAGCTCTACATCCTTTGCGCCAAGGGTGCCTGTGGAGGCCTGGGCAGGAGTGGGACAGATCTGAGGATCTCTGGCAGAAGGGGGGGGGAACCAGGGAAGAGCCCATCAAGCCGGGTATGTGAAGTAGGCGAGGGCCATTTGCTGGCCACTTCCAGGCAATGGTGCATTTCTTCATTCCTCACAAAGGGTGACACCTCCCCAGTATGCACCTAGGGGGTGGGGTCAACGCGGCAGGGGCTAGTTCCTCGCTGTTTCCAGATGGCCTTGTGGAGCTGAATGCATTGTACATTGGCTCCTGGCCGGCCTGGGCCAGGGGCAAGGCAGCAGGGGCCATTCCCTCACTGTTTCCAGGATGGCTTTGCGGGCCACATGAAACCACTTTGCAGGCTGCATCCGGCCCCCGGGCCTTGTGTTTGACATTTCTGGACTAGAATGTTGATTTTGGAAAGTTAATGGACTTGATCGATGTGAAAGAATATTTTCTGTGGGGTGTTTTTTATAAAAGAATACAGGAAGATTTTGAAATAAATTTAAGAAATCCTCTTTTGGGAAGGTTTAAGCAAAAAGGTCAGTCAGAAACAATTAACTGAATTGTTCCCTTTGCCCAGTTCAGCACAACATCTCACATATGGTTATTTGTGGCACAGTGCCTTTGAAAGCCATTCAGACTTCTTGGATGACAACTATCCTCATCCATCTGCTTTGGAGTTGTAGTTGGTGCCAAACCACAAACCCAAACCCATCGGTTCCAGGAGGAGCTTGGGGACATACCTGACTCCCTTGTCCACAACTTGTCCGGGTCCCTGGTTGCGGCCTGGAATGAGGCGGCGTCCGGGGCCCTGGATCGAATTGCGCCTTTGCGACCTCTCTGTGTGGTGGTCCCTGGAGGGCGCCTTGGTTTACTGAGGAGCTCCGGGAGATGAAGCGCCACAAGAGATGTCTAGAGCGACGTTGGAGGGCCAGTAACTCTGAATCTGACTGATCACTATTAAGAGCCTATCTTAGGACTTATTTAGTGGTGATAAGGGCGGCAAAGAGTGTTCACTTTTCCGCACTTATTGCGTCCGCAGAATCTCGCCCGGCCGCCTTGTTTAGGGTGACCCCCTTCCTTCTTAAAGTGGAGGAGGTGGAGGAACCCTTGCAGGGGAGAGCTGAGCAGTTTGTTCAGTTTCTTTCGGACAAAATCGCTCAGATTCAGAGAGACCTAGACTCCGACTGGGCAGTGCCAGCCGAGTTGCCAGGGGCTGGTCTTAGTCATGTTATCTGGAGCGAGTTTGAGCCTGTGACCCCTGATGAAGTGGACAAGGCTGTGAGGGCAATGAATGCCACCACCTGTTTATTGGACCCGTGCCCCTCCTGGCTGGTTTCTGCCAGTAGGGAGGTGACATGAGGCTGGCTCCAGGCGATAATCAACGCCGCCTTGATGGAGGGGTCTTTCCCGCAACCTTTAAAGGAAGCGGTGGTGAGGCCCCTCCTCAAGAAGCCTTCCCTGGATCCAGCTGTTTTGAAGAACTTTCGTCCTGTCTCCAACCTCCCCTTTGTGGGGAAGGTTGTAGAGAAGGTGGTGGCGTCCCAACTCTTGCAATCCTTGGATGAAACTAATTATCTGGACCCTTTTCAATCTGGTTTCAGCCCCGGCTACAGCACTGAGACTGCTTTGGTCGCACTGACCGATGATCTCTGGCGAGCCCGGGATAGGGGTCATTCCTCTATCCTGGTGCTTCTTGACCTCTCAGCGGCTATCAATACCATCGACCATGGTATCCTTCTGCGTCGTCTTGGGGAGGTGGGGGTGGGCAGCACCGTATTGCAGTGGTTCTCCTCCTACCTCTCTGACAGGTCGCAGTCAGTGTTGGCGGGCCGACAGAGATCGACCCCTAGGCGCCTCGATCATGGGGTGCCTCAGGGCTCGGTCCTGTCCCCCCTCCTTTTTAACATCTACATGAAACCGCTGGGTGAGATCATTCGGCGACGCGGGGTGAGGTATCATCAGTACGCGGATGATACCCAATTGTATATCTCCACCCCGTGTCCTTTCAGTGAAGCAGTCGATGTGATGTGCCGGTGCCTGGAAGATGTGAGGGTCTGGATGGGGGTGAACAGGCTTAGACTCAACCCTGACAAGACCGAGCGGCTCTGGGTCTTGCCTCCCAAAGATCAACTGGATGGTCCATCATTAGTCCTGGGGGGGGGGCAAATTTACCTCCCTCAGTGCAGGCACGCAACTTGGGTGTCCTCCTGGACTCACAGCTAAATTTGGAACAACATCTATCGGCTGTGGCCAGGGGGACCTTTGCCCAGGTTCGCCTGGTGCACCAGTTGCGGCCTTATTTGGACCGGGAGGCTTTACTCACGGTCACTCATGCCCTTGTCACCTCAAGACTGGATTACTGTAACGCGCTCTACATGGGGCTACCCTTGAAGAGCGTTCGGAGGCTGCAGTTGGTTCAGAATGCAGCCGTAAGAGTGATTGTGGGCGCGCCAAGGTACGCCCACGTGTCACCTATCCTCCGTGAGCTGCACTGGCTTCCTGTGGGTCTTCGGACGCAATTCAAGGTGTTGGTTATCACCTTTAAAGCCCTTCATGGCATATGGCCAGGTTACTTACAGGACCGCATACTGCCGCACAGTTCCCAGAGACCGGTGAGGTCCCATAGATTGGGCCTCCTTCAGGACCCGTCGGCCAGACAATGTTGGCTAGCGGGCCCTCGGGGAAGGGCCTTTTCTGTGGTGGCTCCGACCTGGTGGAATCAACTTCCCCCCGAGGTTCGAACTACTCCCACCCTGCCGGCCTTTAAGAAAGCTGTTAAAACTCTCCTGTTCCGGCAGGCCTGGGGCTGATGTCCCCGGGGGGGGGGATATGATCGGACACGCTGTATGATTGTATTATTTTATTGTTAGATTATTGTTTTAATTTTGTACGCCGCCCTGAGTCCCTTGGGATTGGGCGGCATATAAATAAAATAAATAAATAAATAAATAAATAAATAAATAAATAAATAAATAAACAAACTGTATGTGTACCTTTGGTTTTTCTTGCCTAGATTTAAGACTTTGCTTTTCTCCACACTGAAACTCATTTTGTTGGATAAGGTCCATTGTTCAAGTTTGTCAAGACCATTAAAGCTACAGTGATCAACTACAGATGAATACTGAGAGCCAGAAGATAACATCAGTATTCAATATTGCTTCAGAAGATAACATCAGAATTCAATATTGCTTCTGCTTTTCCGATCAGGGGCAGCTCTCATATTCCTGCCATCTTTTTCTGCCTGTCACCACCTGAATGATATTGGCTATCCTATCTACTTCATCTTGTTGAAAACATGAGGACAAAAAAGGAGTGAAAAGCAAAATAATATTGTTGTATATTGTAGAAATGGACAATCAGTGGTCTCCAGGTCCCATGGTACCATTTGTGAGCCCTCATTTGTGCCCAAAGATAGCCAGTTAAGGCACCAGGCTAAAAATTGAGAGACTATGAAAGCCAGCTGGATGACCTTGGACCTTTCTCAGCTCTAGGAAGTGGGCAATAGTAAATCATTTCTGAAATCTTGTCCCCAAAACTGCAGGAACTTGTCCACGTAGTCACCAGGAGTCAAAATGGATGAAAGTGCAGATACACACTTAAGCTCAAAAGTTGTACTATTTCAGCCAATTTTTCATATTCTGAATGGCTTTAAGTGAGATAATATGGGCACTTTTCCCCCCAAAAAATCTTCTATTTGTATGTCTACCTTTATTCCATTTTAAAAATTAGAAAAAATGGTTGAAAAAACTTGGCTACATCTCTTAAGTGAATCATACTATAATCCGATAATTTTGTGTGGGCATTTAGAATTTTGGAAGACTGAGTTGAGGTCCTCAACTTCATAAAATAGTTGATCTCTGTTGTAGCAATATGGTATACACCCAGCCAGCTGGAAGATATATAACTTCCCAACCACAATAAGTTTGTGATTCTACAAAGCCCATCTTTCAAAATTTCAAACATGTCAGAAAAATCTCAAAGCTATGAGATTAATGGATTAAATCAAAGTTGCACTTTTTTTTTCAAGCAAGGATTACATTTGCATTCTTGAAGTATGTGGAAGCCACACTGGGGCAAGGAGAAAAAATAATTTAATTTCATTTATCTTTCATTTAAATGTAAATTGAATCACATGAATCACATATTATTCCTCATAAAAATGTATTTATATTAAACATTAAAAATTACAATAATTTTTAGAGTTTATCAGAGCCACCCTCAATTATTTCCAGGGTGGCAGTTAACTAAGAGCTCTGGTTCTTTCTCTTTGGATTAAATAATAGACTTTCCCATTGTACAATTTCTTAAGATATTTTTGGGACTTCTTATTTCAAACTAATAAAATTTATTACAAATTCATAAATACAATCAAATTTAGACGATAAAGAGTATATTTTCGCATACTCAGATTTCCCACTAAAATTAGTGGAATGAAAATGCTAGAAGAAAGAGTATACATGGGGAGGCAGATTTTTAAAAGTCAAAGTGCAACTGTTTCATTGAAGCCTTGCCCTTTTTATCTGCATACATTTCACATTTAAAAGGGATAGAGCTTCAGTGGATACCATCTTTGCTTTCTTAACCTTCTGCATGTATATAACCTTAGCTAGGAGATTCACATCCAGTATCAATTTAGCATTGAGGGGTGGGGAGGAAAAAAGGAAGTAGCATTTTTGTAATTATAAAATTACCTCAGCCACATAACTAATAGCATCCTTCATGTTGAGCTCACGGAAAACTTTAAGAATACGATCTCTAGTTTTCTGAGCAGATCTTCTCATAAGTACTTTGCTGAGGATTTGTCTGTCAAAATTGGTCCATCTAATGATACGAAAAGATAACATGCAACAATCATATATTAAAAGGATATGTTGAAACTTTTACTTGCATCTTATGCCAGTAACATCCCAGTCAATAGAACATTAAAAGAAACATTTAAAAATAATACTTAGTTGGGAATATAATATTCACAAGTCTTCCTATATTGATAATGATTTGTGAATTATAATTGCTAGGTGGTAAAGAATTTTTTTTCATGCCAAGGATCAGACAATCTATGGTCTACATTCTCAAATTTGGCATTGAAAAGTAGAAACATAAAATATGAATCCAAATAATTAAACAATCCTACATAAATGTTTATCATGTTATGAAATATTTTCAAATGAGCGGGATTTCCATGCCAAATTCATCTTTACATTTTGTAGCATTTTGTGGTATTCAGTTTTACCATCGTGTCTGATATGTGACCTATAGACCCACCTGTACAGCAAATAAAAGCAGAAACTGAAAATAGTTTATAAATATTCAAGTGTGAAAAGAGGAAAATGAATCATCTTTCTCTTTAATACACAAATACTACTTAAGGTATATATCAGAACATCTCATATTTTGTATAATAAAATATTCTTATGCTACAATAGATAAATTGTAGAGGTATGAAACAAAGCAAAATTAATGACTTCATTGTTTTAAGCTCCATATATAAGCAATAACACACATTTATAAGAAAAAAGTAGCTTTGAAAACAATTTGCAGAGTCTAAAATTACTGAAATTGTATTTTACAATGTAATCTTCACAAAATTAAATAGTAAATCCATAAGACAAACTTGAAGACAATTTCACAAACCTGGAAGTCTCTTAGAAAAGAGACTATTCATTTAAGTCTACAAACACAATATCAGCCTGAAAAAATTCACCTGAAGGATATTGTTTCATCATTCAATATTTTATAGATATACAATTCAAATCTGAAATAATTATGGAATTTATAGAAATGAGAAACTGATAAAGGAAGCAGCCATAGGCATATCATATTTTTTCAGAACCAAAAAAGAAGCTCCCAAACCTTTTATTCTGCTATTATACCAATAAAGAAAATATGTGGGACTTTTAAAGCAGGGCTTTCCAACCTTTTCACCGATTGTATCACTTTCAGAATATGGCAACATTCAAGTATCACGAGTCACCTAGCAAGGTGTCAAAAACTTGATGACCCAAAAAAAAAAAATGAAAAAAGTGATAAAGTACAGGTAGTCCTTGACTTACAACAGTTTGCTTAGTGACTATTCAAATTACAATGGCACTGAAAAAAGTGACTTGTGACTATTTTTCACACTTATGACCGTTGCAGCATCCCCAGGGTCATGTGATTTACATTCGGATGCTTGGCAATCGATTCATATTTATGATGGTCACATTGTTCCAGGGTCATGTGATCACCTTTTGCAACCTTCTGACTAGCAAAGTTAGTGGGGAAACCAGATTCACTTAAGAACCATGTTACTAATTTAATCTCTCTCCCTCTTTCTTTCTCTCTCCCTCCCTCCCTCCCTCCCTCTCTCTCTTTCTCTCCCTCTCTCTCCCCCTTCCTCTCTATTTCTCTCTCCCTCTTTCTCTCTCCTTCTCTCTCCCTCTTTCTCTCTCCCTCTCTATTTCTCCCTCTCTCCCTTTTTCTCTCTCCTTCCTTCTCCCTTCCTCTCTCTCCCTCTTTTTCCCTTTCTTTCTCCCTCTTTCTCCCCCCTCTCTCTCCCTCTCTCTTTCTCTCTCCCTCTCTTTCTCTCCCTCTCTTCCTCCCTCCCTCCTTCTCTTCCTCCCTCCCTCTCTTTCTCTCCAATCGGGGATCGATTTGGAGGTGCGGAGGGGAGGGGAGCGACTAAGGGCTGCCTGTGTGACCTTGAAGCAGCCACCTTTGAAAGTACCAATGCTGCTCCAGCCTGGCTCAAGCCGGGCAGAACGGATGATGGGAGAGGAGCTGATCGCCTTACCGGCAGCTAGGACTCCGCGCACCTTCCCGACCAGTGGGGCCTATGGTAGCGCCGAATAGCGTGGCTCCCCAGGAAAGGGACTTCCTGGCCGCACTTCTCAGGGGGCGGGGGTGCCCAGGCGCAGGGCCAATCAGAAGCCCTGCGAGGGGGCAAGCCTGCATGAAGAGCCATGCCCTTTCTGTGGGGGAGGGACACAATGGCGCCAACCATTCGTGGATGTAGATTCTGATGGGCGGCTGGCCTGAGCCGAGGCACTGGCAATCGCCTTGAGCTGCCGCCGCCCAATGAGACCGCACTGCGCCCGACAGGCACCATGTAGTGGTCAATGAGTGCCAGACAGGGGGTGGCACTTGAGGGGTGGCTACTGAATGTGCGGCACCATTGTGGCTGTCAAGCCCTGTGGGCTCGACATTCATACGAGGGAGGGGGACCCATGCAGCCAGCCGCCAAAGCATGCAGCCGGCCGCTGGAAACGCCACGCAGTAGGAACAGCTGATGGCTGCCTACCGGGTGGCATGTGGGACTCCGGCGCACCCCAGGATGGCCCACTGGTGCCCAGTTAGAGCAGCTGGCCAGCGCTCCATTGTGGCCGGCTCCGGCAGGGCATGGATTCCCTGGCATCATGGAACACGGTGCAGCAATGTCACCGATAGGTGGGGCATCCCGAGGCTGCCGGCACCAGGTTGAAGCAGCTGGCTGGCACTCTGTTGTAGCCAGCTCCAGTGGTGGCAGCAGGGATCCCCCACAGCTTGCGGCTTCTGGTGCGGTGCCCGGATCAGTTTCCCAGTGGCAATAGAAGAGGGGTACACATGGATCCTTTAAAGGTGACTTTAAAGAACCCTGGTGAAGTAATTCACCAGATACAGTATAACATTACTTGGGAAGGAAGAATGGGTTTAAAACCTATGGTGGAAGGGCTATTGAAGGGGGGTGAAATTTTTGAGCAATCCTTTTAAACATGTTTAGTTTGTTACTTTTTTAACCCAAGAATTTCTGCCTTGGAAAAGTAATAGATGCAAAGAAAAAGAAGAAGAAGAAAAAGGAGGGGGGGAGGCAGTTTCTGTCTGCATGTTTGTTTGTGTGTATGTGTTTTTTTTTTAAAGAACAGAAATTGGGTAAAATTTCCTGACTGTAAGGATAATTAATCAGTGGGATAATTGTCTCCAGAAATTGTGGATGCTTCATTATTGGAGGTTTTTGGGAGGAGGTTAGAAATTGATAGGGTCTGAAATGGATAGAGTTTCCTGTTTCAGTAAGGGGTTGGACTAGAGGACCTCTAATGTCCCATCCAACTCTGATATTCTGTTTTTGTATGTGTGGCATGCTTCAGTGATTTTCCTTTGCACTTTAGTTTGGATTTATCCTTAATAATGCATTTGAGGGTATTCTTGTCAAAGGAACAATCTTATGATGCTTTATTTAACATTTGATAAATATGTGTCTTTGGGACTCCTTGCTACTGCAGAAAAGATGATTAATTGCTGCATACTGTGTGTGTCCAGTTTGTTTTCCTTTTCCTTGGAGCCAAGGAGGGGAAGGGAAATCTTTATAGAAAACCAATTTGGTTTCAGGGTTATAGCCACAGGCTGCAAGGCTGGATTTGAGTTCAAATCCTGCTTTGGCCATGAGGGTTGGCTGAGTGTTTTGGTGCTGATTTATTTTTGTTCAACCCTAGGAGGAAGGTATTGGCAAGCCACTTCTGTAAATGTTAAGGCAATTTTCCTCCTGAGGGCAGTTTCAAGCAAAAGTTTTGTATAAATTTTTACTCTGTCTGGTTTAGTGAGTGGGGGAAGGGGAGGCAATCTTTTGTCTTCTTAGCTATCCTGGTGTTCTTTGATGTGCTGCCACAAGAGTGATTTGAATGTTTTTTTTTTGCCTGAGACAAAAGGCATTCCAGAAATGTTGGCCCAATGCTAATTGGTGAGCCTATGTGCTTTACCTTTTAAAATCCTGAATGTGTTATTTACAATAAGTTTATTGAGTTATATTTTTGTAACATGGTATCTAATCAGGGTGAAAGGGGGAGAAGAAAGAAAAATGTGACAATTTTTGATAGAGCTTCCATGGACAAGTGTAGTCTATCTGATACAGGACAAATGATTTTTTTCTTTCTTTTCTTTCCTCCATTTTTAAGATGTGGAAGCAAATACATTTTTATGTAGCTTCCCAATAAGAACTTATTCTGGGAATTATAAAGAAATGGGAAAGCAACTTTTTGGCAGAAGAAAGGATTGAGGGTGTCTAGCAAATAAAGGCCATTTGGTATGAAAGGAGGTAAAATATCTAGAATATATTATAGTTGGGGAAAGGAAAATAGATAGTAAAAGGATTGAGGATATAGTAGATTTATAATTACCAAACAACAAAAATGGTCTTAAGGGGATTCTGTGGTTATTACAAGGTACTGCAAGAATGGTGATCCAAAAACTATATGAGGGAAATATTGGGGAATTAAAGCATAGGTAGAAATGTATTTGAAATTCTATGCTACCCTTGGAATTTATGGGATAGCCCAAAGGGCTACAGAGGGATGTTTGATATGTAAAAGGGTTAATAAAGGGTTAAGGCTCCCAAAGGAGGGAGACAAATAGCTAAATGTAGAACAAGTACTGGGGTCTCTGTCTTCTCTTTGACAGGAAGGCTTGGTGGCGCAAACAACTCCTTTGGAATTTCCAGTCCATAAGATCCAGCCGGGACAGTGGGTGCTGAATCGTAAATGGAAGGAGGAACTTCTACAACCAAAGAAAGGAAGTTCCTTATGTTATATCTGCTGTCCGGAGGGCTGAGAAGGGTTGGACTCACTACACATGAGCAAAGGTGGTGACTGGACCTGAAAGAGGGTGGACGGTTATTCCAGGACAAGGACTGAAAGCCACGTTTAAAAGGACTTGAATGGGTAGTGGACCAGAACCCCTACCTATTTTGAATATCTTTATTAGAATTTCAGGTGACCCCAGATGAAGAACAAAGATGTTGGTGGTGACTCATCAGAGAAATAAAAGTTGTTTGTTACAAATAAAATGAATAATTAAGTCAGAAGTCATACCATTAGAAACTGAAAACGTAGAATTGTACGTTGTAAGAATTAGGTGGTAGGTGTGTTACCTCTGTAATAGCTAGTGATTATTGTTATTGTTATTGTTGTAATTGTGGATCAATTTGTGGGTGTGAAATACTGTGTAATAATCATGAGGGGTGGATTCTACTTCTAATATTACTGAAGACAACACACCAGAACAGCCTGGGAAATGAAGGTAAAAATTTGTTTGTGGAATTTGCAGAACAAGTGCATAAGGTGTTCAATTTAACCAAATGTTGGGTGTGTGGCAGGCCTTTGATAGCTCAATGGCCTATGAGAGCAGTTCCTTTGAGCCCTCATTTCCTTCTCCCTGAGGCTGATGATTACACTAGCAATTGGACTGATACTAATAGACATATGTGGGAGTTGAGTAATATTCCGACAGGCTTCTTTTGTTTAAATAGAAGTAAAGGACATCAAATGTTGAGGAAAAGTCAATGTATTTGGACTCAAACATATGACAAGATTCCACTTACAACAGGCCCTGTAAACTGTACTCAACTTAAAACAACATACACTAAAAAAAAATGTTCTTATGCAGCAAATAGGTTAAGATTGGGATGCTTATGCAGAAAGCAGAATAAGGAGGGTATAGTAAAACAGTTAACAGAATGGATTTGGGGTTGGAGACATATAAATGGAACATTAACTGCAAGATTCACAGAATATTGGAACATTTATAAATGGCCTACAGATAAATGTACAAAGGAAGGGAAAGTATATAGATGTGTAGGAACAACCTTGTGGGCTATGCCTGTGCCACATGGAGGACAATATATGACTATAGCACCAGTTGGATGGGATGGCAATTGGAATGGACCTTTTCCTAAGGGACAGCCAGCAAGAAAAGGTCAATACTGGATATGTGGGTCAAGAGCAAATCGAGCATTGCCCCCAAATTGGACTGGAATCTGCTATCCAGGGGTAGTGATACCTGAATTCTTTTTATTAGAAAATGAAAGGGATAATGAAATACAAATCCCCTCATATAAAAAATATAGGGGAAAGAGGGAAATAGCTAAAGCCCCAGAACAAAGTTGGAAGGGTGTATGGTCCACAAATAGAATAATAAAAGAATTACAACCAGTAACCTGGAATTGGTGGACCATAGGAGGATATAGAGGGCTATATACTTTGACCAATGGAATAATAAGATTACAAGCTGTGGTAGAGGTAATAGCTAATCGAACAGCTACAGCTCTAGAATTACTGGCTACTGAGGTAGGACAAATTAGAGACATTGTAATTCAAAATAGAATGGCTTTAGATTATATATTAGCCTCTGAGGGAGGAGTATGTGGAAAATTTAATTACACTAACTGTTGTTTAAAGGTAGATGATAATCATGAAGCAGTGATGGACATTGCAAAAGGAATCAGGAATGTGGCCAAAGCTCCTGAACAAAAGTATGAAAATATGTGGGGTGATTGGAGTTGGTTAACAAATTGGCTTCCCAATTTTGGGTGGGTAAAACAAATATTTATAGGACTAGTGTTTATAGTTGTGATAGGTATTATGTGTTGTGTCTGTCTCCAATGTTTACCCTGCTGTATTTCATTTTGCACCAAAACATTGGGGTCAGTAGCGAGAAACATCTCTGGAGAAGATGTACAGATTCAATTTATGTTATCTAATATAGCCAAAAATGAAGATTCATCAGAGTATACAGAAATACAGGGGGGATTTGATAAATATACATCAATATGATAAATCTTCAGAGACAGTTAAAACCTACAATACAATGGAAACGAGTAAGAAAAATACAGATGGTGAGAGTCAGGAAGACATTAAGGAAGTAAGATAACCATAGAGGTAAAAATAGCTGGGTCTGAGAAAGGAAGAGGAAAGTCATAAAATAGATAAATAGTTTTTTTATAGGAAATGGCTAGCCAGAAAGGAAGGTTGAATGGAGAACAGAAAAAGAACTTATTGTTCAAAATGGGGGCATAAATATATTGAGTTTAAAAATAACCATAAGAAAATAATTTTTTCTTATTCTTATTGTATATGTGAATATGATTTAGTATGTTATCAGGAAATGTGTATAGGCGGACGGAAAGAGTGTAACCTCATACTACCTCAGCCAATGGGGAAAGAGGAGGGCTGTAGCGGCCGGTGATAGGGATGAATAAAAGAAGGAGATATTTTGGGTTAAAACTTTGGAGAGAACTAAGCTTTGAAAGCTTCTCTCCCTGCTTATTGCAATAAACGAAACAAAAGGCCTTCACTGTGTCTTGGCTGGTTATTGGTCAGGCGAGCTTGCCTCTGGTCACGAAGGAAAGTAGCACATAACAACTTAAAGCACCTAATCTGAAATTATATTATGATGCGGCCATTTTAACTTTAGTAAGTGATTGGCTCAATTTAACAAACAAAAATATTTTGGTTCTTGAAGGCTGGGATTTATTATTTGGCTGGCACGCATATTTAGTTTTTGATAAGAAAGTAGATTGGGTGTTTAAGTCACATATTTTAAGAAATGCCATACTCCGTGTCTGGAGGAAG